ACATACATATGCATGTACATACACATGTAGGTTTATTTTTTGAAAAGTTATCAGGCATTTTCAATTCATATTTATGGCCACCGTAACTATATGTAGGTGTTGGCAGATATGTACATACATATGTGCTTTTCCGCCCAAAATTGGTCGCATGAATTTAAGCTTGAAACACATTGGGAACGACAGTCAAAGGACCACAGCTGTCAAATTATTTTAGATAATTTTGGCGAAGACACGGCAAAACCGCGTCTAGCAAAAAAATGTAGCCGTGGCCAGATTAGATCTATTTCTATTTTTCTAGCGACAGATAAGATTACTCCTCTTCTTTTCAAACTCGAACAAATTCATGATGTCGCTGCCGAGTTTAAAAAATTCATATCGCCATCGACAAGGCATTCAGATAATCAAGGTAACAAATTGGAAGCTGTCACCCGTCGTTTCCAAAGTATTTCAAGCTTACTTTGGTCGGTTGGGCGGCTAAAACAAATTTTGGTCGGTTTTATGATTATTTATTTATTATGTTTATTTTAGTCTATGATGTACAGTCAGTGTCAAATGTAAGTGTACACCTTGTTGTAATATAAAATTCACAATTATTTTCATGACAATTTTTTTTTCATTAATTATTTATGAAAATATAGTTCTTTCTATAACATAAAGCATACAAATCAAAGTTTCGCGCTTTATATAAAGTTCACAAAAATTCAAAAAATTTTCATCAAAATTTCAAAATTTTTATTCAGAATTTCTAGAAAATTTTCGATTATGTAACTTTGTAACGCGTGATCAAAATCTATTTTTATATGAAAGAAAATGCCCAACACCCTCCACAAAAAAAATGCTAAAAAATCAACGGCAATTTGTTTTACTAAAATTGAACGGTCTACAAAACTGCATACTCGAAAATTTTCTGGAAATTCTGAATAAAAATTTTGACGAAAATTGTTTGCATTTTTGTGAACTTCATATGAAGTGTGAAACTTTGATTTTTGAGGTTTATGTTAAAGATTCAGATTGTTACATTTATTATATTTTCATAAATAATTAATGAAACAAATTTTTCATAAAAGCAATTGTGAATTTTATATTACAACAAGGTGTACACTTACATTTGACATCAACGCGATTGAAACTAGCACTTGCTTAAGCTAGAATTAACTGGTCTATAAATACATACATAAGTACTTAAAAATTTTCTAAAAATTCTTAATAAATAGTTTGTTGTAAAATGTTGCTTGATGTTTTATAATTTTTCTGCGATGTTTGAAATTTGAGCTTACAGCCCGCGACAAAACCATAGCAACTCAACATTTTGAACAGTTTTGACTATTTGTATTTTGTTTGTTTAATGTTCACTATTTTTATATAAAAGTATAGCTCTTTATCTAACAAATACCATATACCCTGTTTTTTGTCCATCTGAAAGAAAGGGAAATTTTAAAAATTCTATAAAAATTTATTATGTTTGAAATGCAAGCGTGGACACCAGCTGGCAGTGAAACTTGCAAATTCCTGCAAATTTGCGTTCGTGCAGAAAGTTGCAAGTTTCTCAACATGTGAGAGAATTGTTCCTTACTCTCTGTAATTTTTTGTGTTGGATAATTCTTGCTGGATTTTCGACGAACAAACCTACTCTCTCGCTATAAGCGAATTTTTATTTTTTGACCGTTTTACTAGTTGTAGTCCGAGGAATACCGGTCTAAACCCATTTTTTTTAACACTGCTAGGTTAACTAAACTAATTAAATTAAAATTTTCTTCAAAACACTGGTTTTTAACAAAACCTTAATTTTTTGATGTAGTAGTTGGTTTTAAATTTTATTAAGTCCTCAATGAATAACTTACCGATATTTGTAGTAAGCTAAAAGTAAAAAACAACTAGAATCTAGTGTAAAGTGAGAATGGGAAGAGCGAGCGAGCAATCAGTCGGGTACGAACAGCCAGGCGGAACGGTTCCATAACCGGACATTGAATTGAATACTTAACTCTGTATCATATAATTTATTAATAAACATTCCATTTACTTGTTATACTACTACCCGGGATACATCTTGACACTAGCATAATGGCGAGATCATTGTTTAAACAGCGCTTATAAGCCAAACCAGATACATATGTCATGTTGTTTCAGAATTTGGAGAACCTGTAACGTTAGAGCACTTTTCGATTTTAGTATTTGTAATTCATTTTTAATACTTTCTTCTGCGACTGCTTTGAAAAATTTGTGCTTATAGCGAGCTAAATAGATGGATATGGAAAAAAAAAGATTATTTTTGAACAAAATTCTGTTTTCAAAGTCGTGGCTGCCAGCCGAATCGGATCAGAATATTGTTAATTTTTTTTAAAGCCCCCCGTTGTTTATAAGCATTTGAATAACAAATAGTTACGTAATTTTTATCTAATTAAAGGTCAGACCTATAGTTTTTAATTATTTGAGCATCGATTCTCTTTATAGCTAGACGTTGATAATTTCTACTGGAAATCCCTATTGAAGGAGCTTACTCATTGACTTTAAATAGCAAAGAAAGGACACTTTTACCACGGAAGTTTTTAGCCAAGGATCCAATATATATCCCTATAAAAAAATATTATCCAACAAGTAAACAAAACTACTGTTTTTAAAATTTTTGATAAAAATAAATTCCCCAAAGAGCCCCATTTGAAATTATTCAAACGAATAAATGTAATAGGTGGCATACGCGGTACGTCTGACTCGCGAATCATTTGTGTACGTGTTGACTCACCTTCGACTACCCACAGTTGAATCATCCAGAGTCATGCCGGGAGACATGTTGGTGTAACTAACACATATTTATTTTCACAAACACGTCCAAACAGACTCACGAGTCAGACGCACCATGTATGCCGCCTATAACATCAAAAGCAAATCACGAAAATTTTGTTAAGAATTACAGTGCACACTTTCTTCTTTTGTGTCTAGTAGTTTTTTTTTTTTAAGATTGGTCCAAAAAAATCATAATAAAGAAAGAAGCCAAAGTAGGTATTTAAAGAACAAAAAAAAATATTATTAAAAGGACTATGTTCTCTTTGACGTACGTCAAAGGTCAGGTAGAAGTGGAAACTTTTATGGTTGCCCATTCATAGCTCGGTTATATAGCTTAAGAAATAATATTTAAAATACATTTTATCAAAGTTGATAAATATGACATTTGACCAGTTTTGTTACACAAATACTCCTACGATCACGGGCAAAAATATTGGCTACAATATGTAATTTTTTTTTTGCCATATATACGTTTTATCGGTCCACTTGCAAAATATTCGCATTCGCAAAATATTCGCATTGATTATTGCGAATGCGAAAGCGAATGCGAATGTTAAAATTAATGCGGAAGTTCCGCAGTTGCGAATGCGAATATTCGCAACAACCCTGATTCTAAGTTTAAACTGGCACTGAAAAACTGGCCCTAAGGCAACGCTATACTTTTTACTAAAGGAGTTTTTATATACCAGCCAATTTTGTCGTACACTCTTTGCTTAATAGGTAGTTATTATCCGACACAGTATGTACCTACCTACCTACATACAGTGCCGAACAGAAGTATTGGCACAGTGAATTTTTCGCAACATACGCAAAGTTTTTTATTCTAAGTTATTTTACGATAATTTTTTATAAAAATATTGTTCATTCTACAACTGAAAACGTAATAATGAAATCTCTAAACTTTGTGCAAAACTCAGGACAATTCATTAAATTTGCACACTAACTTGCAACTTTTTATTCAGATTTTCTAGAAAAATTCTAAGTATGCAGTTTTATAGCCCATTCAAATTTACATACGTACTATAAAAATAACAAAGAAAATATATATATTTTTTGGAATTATGAATCCAGTATGGAGAAAATGAGCAACATCTTCCACTAAAAAATTTGCCAAAAATCAACACGATTTTCTAGCGACTTCAAACTTGCTCTTTGTTATACTAAATTTGAATGGGCTATGAAACTGCGTACGTAGATCTAGAAAATCTGAATAAAAAGTTGCAAATTAGTGTGAAAATTTAACGAATTTTCCTGAGTTTTGCACAAAGTTTAGAGATTTTATTTTTATGTTTTTTGGTGTAAAATGAACCATATTTCTATAAAAAATAATCGAAATTAAATTAGAATAAAAAACTTTGCGAAATTCTCTGCGCCAATACTTTTGTTCGTCACTGTATGTATGTATGTATGTATGTATGTACATAATATGATTAATCAATTTGAATAATAGCCCACAATCT